ATTTAAAGAGGACCAGGACATTTGGCTATCGTACAGCTTGTGCCGGCTTTTGGCAAGGCGCTACTATGGGTTTCATTGTGCAGAATAAGGGCATGCCAAGGTGCGCCGTTTTGCGCTGGCCCGGTTGGGAGCGGATGGCTAAAGGGGGCATTCACCAATGTTGAGGTGCAGTTGGCTTTCCTTCACGATTACTTCTTCAATACCTCTCCCAGTATCATGGAATCTAGCTTTTACATGCTGTCACATAAAATGCAAACGCCGGCAGAATGGCCATCAGTGATATGCATAATGAACACTTTAAGGTTGGCCTATTTAACTTATTGCCATTCGTAAATTAACTTATTGCCATCCTTACGGATGACACCTCTCCGTTTGCCAGTTTTAGAATGGCATCTACACAATTGACATCCGAAACAGTAATCCTCCTACGTATTTACCATTTTTGCTGATGTGGCATGCCACGTCGACACGCCAGCGCAGCAGCGTCCCTAGGAACCTCTACAGGGCACACGAAATTACCTGTTTACCCATGTTGCTTTTCTCCAACTCCATTTGCCTACGCGTGGGCCCTCTCCCTCCCCCTTGTTGACGCGTGGGCCCCACACGTCAGATTCTCCTTCAACCTCTAGCCATCACCACGCAGCCAGAGGAAGGGGAGGAGCTCGTGCAGTCCCGGCCGGCATTTTTCTCCATCCTCGGTCACCTTCTCTAGTGAGCCGGCTGCGCCGCGAGCAAGTTGTGTTATGGGCGAGCTCCGCCGCGCACCAGCTGCGCCACCGGCGAGCTCTACCGCAGGCGAGCTGTGCCGTGGGCGAGCTCTGCCGCGCGCCAGCTGCGCCGCGAGCGAGCTGCATCGTAGGCGAGCTTCGCCGGCCGCGGGCGAGCTCCGCCACGCGCCAGCTGCGCCGTGAGCGAGTTGCGCCATGAGCGAGCTCCGTCGCGCCCCAGCTGCGCTGCGAGCGAGTTGCGCCGTGAGCGAGCTGCGTCGTGAGCGAGCTGCGTCGTGGGCAAGCTGCGCCTCGCGCGAGGTGGCCTGGGTGAGCTCTGCCACGGGCACGTCTTCTTCCTCTATTCCGGATCTGGCGTCAGGGCGGCGTGGGCGCGCAACTCCTTCCTCGGCTCCGACGGGCACGGCCCTGGTGGCGCGAGCGCAGCCGGCCGGCACTGCACGAGCTCCTCCCCATCCCCTGGTTGTGTGGTGATGGCGGGAGGTTGAAGGAGAAGCTGACGTGTGGGGCCCACGCGTCAGCGAGTGGAGGGAGAGGGCCCACGTCGCAGCGAGAGAAGTGAGAGAGAAGCAGCAGGGGTAAACAGGTAATTTCGCATGCCCGGTAGATGTTCCCAGGGCGCTGGTGTGTCGACGTGGCGTGACACATCAGCAAAAGTGGCAAATACGTAAGATGATTACTGTTTCGGATGTCAATTCTGTAGGTGCCATTCTAATACCGGCAAACGGAGAGGTGCCATCGGTAAGGATGGTAATAAGTTAAATATCCCACACTTTAATGTTGGTGGTGGCTGGCTACGATCATTGATTCCAAAAGTACTCGCAACAGGACATGGATCTTATTTGCTTTGTGCAGTAACAATCATGATTTGTTGGGCGTATTTCTTTTGGCCATCTACTGGCGTCCAATACACATCGTTTTTCATAAATTAGATCTTCTCCACGCTCCCACCACAAGGATTACTGGGGTGGGACTCCTCAAACACACCATAGTCCTAATGAACTGGATGTTCACCACCCCTCCGCTCAAACTCAAACTAGCTAGTACTGTTTACTGGAGCGATAAAATCGGGCAGTACTCAGTTCTCCAAGACTACGACCGTCGGCGCTCTCGCAAGGAGGCACTTGTAGCCTGGTTCCCGGGACTTGTGCGACCTCAACCGTGGTATAGGTTCATCAAGCATCTCCCAGTCGAGGAAGAAGATGTCAGGGTGCCTGACAGCTTGAGAAAATTCAAAATTGGTTGCTGATACTCTCCGGGCTATAGATGGCCCGCCATGGACCTGCAGGCAACAAACTCACACGGGCACCAGAGTGATTGTACGGTTTTTATTTGCTTGTTTAGTTGAGGTCATTCACTACGTGTTTTAGCTTGCGTACGTACGTTTTTGTATCTCAGTATGTCATTGGGCCCAATATTGTTTGTATCAAATAGTTTAAAGTTTGACCAAAGTTAAAAAAAAATACTAACATTTATGATACAAAATAAATATCATTAAATTAATTATTATGGAATATATTTTCGTAGTAAATCTAGTTGGAGATATAAATGTTAATATTATTTACTATAAACTCAGTTAAACTTAAGCTACTTTATAAATGTTAATATTATTTATTTATTATAAACTTAGTTAAATTTAAGCTACTTTGACTGGTACATCGCTCGTAGTTATATTATTTTTAAGAGGGAAGGAGTACATTTTACTCAATGTTAAATAGCACTGCATTCCCTACGTGCACTGCGAACAAAGTAGATGTCGGCATATGGTGACCGTTGATGCCTACGTGTGGTGCATGCGCCAGCTAGTGCAAAATTTCCCGGCCTTGCATGTACGGTACGATAACTTTTCTCCATCCGAGATCATTTAAAAAATTTAAATTTGAATACACGAGGACTTCAAACTATTTTCTGGGACCGAGAGTCTAACCATAATATAACTCTTTAATCAGATACTTAATCTAATTAGCTAGTTAATGTTGCTATTTGTACTTTATTCTTTGTCTTTCCTCCATATTAATTTTTAATAGCATCTTATATAATTATGAATTAGGTCTTTCTATTGTTTTATCTCCATCTCTTGTTTTTATTGTTGCCTAGTAAAGATCTTGGGCGCCACTAAGACACCCTCTAATTACCTAGTTAATTTTGATTAGTGCTTTGCTCCCTCAGAATTGGTCCAATGATATCTATATTATTTAGAGTAAGTCTTCATGTTATCTCCCTAATCTCCTTTATTCCTGTTATTATAATTATATTGATGGGTATGATAAAAAATAATTATATTGATGGGTGAAAGTTAAAGGTCTAGACCTAATTAATTTTGTTCTCTTTAATTTTCTCTATAATATTCGGTGTTGTTTTTTAGTTTTCTTTTTGTACTGTCAATTTTTGCACTAACTGAATGTTACTGTCAATTTTCTCTTTAATTTTTGCTTCCCTATATTTAAATCGTGGCTCCGCCTTTGACCACACGTCAGTGACGGAGCGGGTATTGACCGTCGAGAGAGTCCTCTATAGTTGTGACAGACAACAACGGACGAAGAAAATACAGATACAGATAGTGAGTGTAGCTAGTACAGATAGTTGTTACCGGTTATGTGTACAAATGTTTTTTTTTTTGGTTATGTATACAATCGATTTATTTGTATTTCGTCGTACATAATTGTTAGCGGTTTGAGCAGTCTTCCTATATGTAAATCTTGGCTCCGGCCGCCTCCAACCACAAGGCAGTGACGGACCGTCGAGAGAGTCCACCTATAGTTGTGACAGACAACGGCAGGCGAAGAAAATACAGATACAGATAGTGAGTGTAGGCCACACAACGCTCACTCGCTTAGCGATGACGAAAACCAGCAGTCTGTTCTTGTGGTTAGAAATGTACGCTAAAGATAAAAGAAGAGCAAACACGCGTGCAAGCCAATTAAGACGACCTAGCTTATTGCCCTTTTCTTTTCCATCTAGAACAAGAAGAAGAAAGACCTAGCCAGGTACCGCTGCTTGTAGTTGTCCTCCACTGCATCTGCAGCGACCCAGAGCAAAGCAACCCCTTCCTCTCCGATTCTGGCTGGAGCAAAACAACCCCTGACTGCTTCTACACGGAAGGTGACCGACGACCTCAAGTATGTTGACCTCTCTGGCATACCATTCTACGGTGGCGTATCTAGATCTTTCCAATTCCAACTTGATCTGCAGTATCCTGTGCATCCGTCTACTATAATAATAACACTCTCACTCCAGAACGGATCCACTCTGACTCCAGAACTGATCCTGCCACCATAGCGACATTATTGTCGATGGTTGACACCATGCATCGCCTAGCTGCTGCCATGCTCGTGTTGCTCTGCTGCTGCTGCTTGTTCCTCGCCACGCAGCAGCAGCAGCTCCAGCCAGCCGCCAGTGGTAACAGAGCGAGCCCGAGCTGCATACCACACCAGAGGGTATTGACCGTCGAGAGAGTGCTCTATAGTTGTGACAGACAACAACGGACGAAGAAAATACAGATACATATAGTGAGTGTAGCTAGTACAGATAGTTGTTACCGGTTATGTGTACAAATGTTTTTTCTGGTTATGTATATATACAATCGATTTATTTGTATTTCGTCGTACATAATTGTTAGCGGTTTGAACAGTCTTCCTATATGTAAATCTTGGCTCCGGCTGCCTCTAACAACAGGGCAGTGACGGACCGTCGAGAGAGTCCTCTATAGTTGTGACGAAGAAAATACAGATACAGATAGTGAGTGTAGCTAGTACAGATAGTTGTTACCGCCGGTTATGTGTACAAATGTTTTTTGTTTGTTATGTATACAATCGATTTATTTGTATTTCGTCGTACATAATTTGTATTTCGTCGTACATAATGCCACGTTCTCCGGCCGCCTCTAACAACAGTGTAGGCCAAGCACGTCTGGAGGAACGTGGTGCGAACCACACAACGCTTACTCGCTTAGCGATGACGAAAACCAGCAGTCTGTTATTGTGGTTAGAAATGTACGCTAAAGATAAAAGAAGAGCAAACACGCGTGCAAGCCAATTAAGACGACCTAGCTTATTGCCCTTTTCTTTTCCATCTAGAAGAAGAAGAAAGACCTAGCCGCTGCCTGTAGTTGTCCTCCACTGCATCTGCAGCGACCCAGAGCAAAGCAACCCCTTCCTCTCCGATTCTTGCTGTCCTGTCCGATCCTCCCAAATCTTTAGCTCCCTGCTGCTTACCTGCATGCACTCCTGCAGCCTGCAGGGTGCAGCGTCTCCATACCCGGCCGTGTTCACGATGCGGCGAGCCTTGAGAGAGAATAATGGGGTCACTGCTGTCTCCATGGCTGCCATCTCCTCCACACTAGTGCTCGTCGTTGGCCGTGCGGTGACGGCGATGGTGACGCTGAGCCTCGAAACCAAGCTGATGGCCCTATCGTTGGTATGGGTTGGCCTCTACCGGCTTCAGCGTGTCCTGGTGGGAAAGCGGCGTAGCTCGGGGCACTGGCTCGTGCAGTACGGTGCAATGGTGGCCTACTATCTCCCAGCTCCTCTCGCGTTTTACGCTGCCAATGCTGTCTGCTCCACCTCCCACGTCAGTGAATCTACGCCTTTCCTCGTGCTCGGGTCGGCCGCATGTTTCGCTTCACTGTTCCAGTCCGAATGGGAGTACTGCTTGTCACCAACATGAGAGCCTATTCTCTCCGCGACCGTCCACGAGATCGCTGCAATTCTCTCATGTGGCTAGTCTTCCTTGGTTGGGTAGATTGGGAATGGGCTCGGATTTCAGGTTCTAACTGGCTAGGACTGCTGCGACTACTTGCGCATATGGGTGTATATTTTAGCATGCTGTTTATCATTCTGTTTGATAATACATCAGAATCTACCTTGGATTGCCAGACCAAAGCAGTTGCTGACTACATGAAGCGGCGGAAGTCCAGCAAGTCGTCGTCAACAACCTCACCCTTCTTTGATGATGATGATGATGGTGGTGATGATGATGATGCTAACAGTAACAGCAGCCTGTAGCTGGATTATTGTTGCAGATATCCCTTTGTTCAGGGGGGAAATGTGAAAGACCGTAACGGCGACCAGAGGCGGATGAATGGGAGCCTCAAATTGCTTTCGAAAACTTAGGCCACTGTCCCAATTTCAACACAAGAAGCAAACACACAAGAGAGGAGTGATCCACAAGCTAACTAGGTGGCTGGATGTCTCCGGCGATGACCAAAAGACACTGCAGGACCCTTGAGTAACAACAAAGCCAAGCCCAAGACGAAACACCGAGAAACAATGAAGACAGGGGAATTGCACTGTCCGGAGTCTGCTCACGGACTGTCCGCCGGCTGCAACAAAGAAAACGAGCTGATGAAACAAATTATGGAAACTACTGAAACATGAACGGCGGACTGTCCGCGGTCAAGGCCCGGACTGTCCGCAGGTCAAAAATTTAAAACCGGACCGAGAGAACTAGTTCTGGTCGCGGCTGGAACAGCAGTCCCGAACTGTCTAGGGACAGACTGTCCGTGGGTACGGACACCGAACAGCACCAAAACGGACAGAAACAAGCCCGACTCCCGGACTGTCCGCGGTCAAGGCCCAGACTGTCCGCGAATCGCGAATCAGTGAGAACAGAGCGCCAGAAAAATCGTCACGCACTCAAAATCACCCGGTTTGCGGGCCACCTCAAAACCAACTGCCACCAAATTTGGACTAGATGATCACAAGGCAGTAGGTGAGCTATCTCTAAAAGATCATCGCTCAAAGTTTAGCCAATCAACGGGAAACTTAGATCACATGATGAACACCGGTTTTTCTTCTCCAAAACTTGAATCGCCCCGATCTATGAACTCATGAGGATTCGGTCAAATTCCTTCGGTGGAAGGGATCAACTCATGTCCTAGTTCATCACAAAGCAATCAGTTTGAATCAAGACGGCCCAAAACTCAAGATCCAAGCAAAAACGTGAGAGGGGTGGAGAGGGAAAAACAAGAACGCGAAGAACACGAACAGGAATCACACAAAAGACTCAAACCTTGAATCCCGGAGGGCACGAGGAGGTTAGGGCCTCCATCCCCTCTCAAATCTTTGGTTCGATTAAACAGATGAAGCGGCTAGATCATCTGAGGACCTCTTGAAGCACATCTAGAGGGAGGGAGAAGACCTAGGAATGAGGAAAAGGAAATGCGAAGAGGTGAGGGTGATTGGGGCACCCTCATCCTATTTAACAGGGCTATTACACAATTTTAGTTTTGCCCCTAGATATTTTGAGCCGAACCACTTAATTCGAGGGCATTATGGTCCAACTCAGTCTTCTGTCGATCGGACGGCCACACTTTCTACACAGATTTGCTTCGCCTTGACGCAACCTCTATGATTCCGCCACGTGCCGCCCCGTTCCTACTCAGAACCTCTGCCCAGGTTTTGAGGCCCAAACCCGAAAACAGTCCACCGGTGGTTTTGCGGCCCAAACCACCAAACCCGCTCGACCGCCGTCTTGACTCGGTGAAAGTTCCTAAATGGCTAGAGGGAGGGTGAATAGCCTAATAAAAATCTACAACAGCACTTAATACAAAAGGTTAGTAAATGGCGATAAAGGCGATGTTGCGCTAGCTCAATAAACATGATGCAAGCCACCTATCCACATGTCTAGTATGCTAAAGTCTCTATGTCACACAAGAGCTAGGTTGCCAAGACTACTCTAGCGAACTAACAAGAGAGAAGCTAATCCAAGTCATTTTTGGCCTTACGAAGACCCTCGACCTCTTCGTTGAGCTTATTCCTCTCCTCAGTGATCCTACTCTACTCTACGTGAAAATTTTCAAGGGCCAAGTCACGATCAACAATCTCCTTCGAGATCATCTTTTCCATTGACTCGGCCATATGATAACTTTGCCAAAAACCACGCCATAAACAAAGAAAAAAAGCAAAAAAAAAAAAAAGGAAAGCAAAGGCGCAAACTCACCACGTATTGTTGCTAAAGGTTAGTTCTCAGCATCCTCGGCCAAGGAAAACCCTTGAAATGCCGCCGGGTGCGCTCTACATAGAAGGCAACCAAACGAATAAGTAATCCTAGAAACGAAGGCAATTAAGATGCAAGGCCAAAACAACCTCCAAGTAGGCCAGAAAGATAGTCCAACCCTTCCGCCCACTCACCTATGCTCTCCGAAGACTCGCCTGCAAACAAAACTTCACCACCAGCGCGCCTCGAAGGCCCATCCACGCCACGGACGTCACCGCCGCTTGTAAAAAAATCATGGCCCGCAGTGACTGGCCTGTCTTCGAAAGTCGCCGAGGCTACCGCAGCATCCCCTCCGGCACCGGCCGCCTTGAAGCCGGCTCCTGGACAAGCCATCGAATTAGACCCTGTCTGAGTAGGAAAGCCACCCCTGCCGCTTCATTTTCAGCACCATAACTCGCTACCTCGATTTGCAGATTCATTTTCAGCACCATCATCAGGAACAGCCTTCGGCTCTAAAACCTTCTCAGGACGCACTGGGTCATCAGACTCGGCATCGCTCTCTGCTAGCAACGACGCCTTCACGGAGCGAATCCGACCATCAGACTTCGCATCGCTGGCATCAAACGCAACCAACCCCGCAGCGTCTTCATCCTCTACATCCTCATTAGAGCTGAACTCATCGGCCCCAGGCCAAAATATCTGGGGCATCGGCGCAACGGCAGGCACACAGGCAGCAACCGCACCACCCAGGGCTCCAGCAAAAATGCGGCCTCCGAGGTAGGCACCTTAGCCAACTCTAGAAGCTTAGCAGCAGCACTCGCCTCGGACTCTGTTTCAGTAGCCTTCGGCGAGGACTGTTTAAAAGTATCAGCGCTTAGAACCTTGGACCTTTTCACCGAAGGCTTGGGGGCTACAGCAGCTTTCCTCTTCGTCTGCTCGGCCCTTCCGGTAGTGTTCTTCAACACCGGGACCTTCGCAGCTTTCCTAGAAGCTTTAGCTTCCTTCTTCTAAACAGACTTCAGTATCTTCTCAAGAACCTCCCGCTCACCATATTTCATCCCAAGTTCCTCGAACACCCTGTTCAAGTGGGGCATCTCGCCCCCAACAGCCTTGCGTGCAATATACTCATACTCCGAGATTTCGCCAAGAATCTTGATGGCTGCAGCTTCAGCACGCGCAATTATAGCGGCGTCAGTATCACCTTTGGCGCGATGATGACCGAATCAGGGGAAGGGCACACCCACCCTCTCGCGGCGCGATGATGACCGAATCGGGGAAGGCACACCTCCCTCTCGCCAAAGATTGGTAGCTTAACCTTCTCCAATGTCATCGAAGGCCTAGTGTTCCTCCCAAGAGGCCAGAAATCAGCAGCAGCAAACTCCTCCACCAAATCCCGGCCTCCGCTATACCGAGCTGCATAACCGAAGGCTTTCTCGCACTCCTGACGGGCCTTATCGTCATTAGGAGTCACCCGACTCAAAGGCCTCATCTCTTCCATCTCGGACGCAAGGGGGAACTGCACGGCCTCGTTCCCTCGCACATCCTTCGTCCTCGTGAATGGAGTCCTTACATAGAACCAGTAGCGCGCCCAGTCGTTGGGCCATCGGTTCCGCTGAGCAAACGAAATCTCCTGCTTCTCCTCCTTCCTCGAAGGCCTCCTAGGCATAAAGGCGCAGCTGCCGAATTGTGCCTCATGAACCACCCCATCGATAGTAATCTTCTTCGGCTGGCGTTGCAGCTCATAATGAGCACAGAAGCAGTCCAAATCAGGCTCGGACCCATAAGACTCACATGCCCAGCAGAACTTAGCCAGCGCCAAAATACCATTAAGGGTTAGATGGTGCAGCTGCACGTTAAAAGACTCCAACACCTGCCTCAGGAAGACCACCGGGGGGTGCCAACGCCACAAACGAAGAAATCCCTGAAGACAACCGCTTCACTACCCTCCGGCTTGGGAACAGTCTCATCACCCGGAGGCCTAGCCTTACCTTTAGGAAAATAGCCCAGAGCAACATATTCGGCTATCGATTCCTCTGTAACCAACGAAGGCCCAAACTCCCAAGTCTTCGGGAGCTCCGCCTTGACACCTCCACCCTTCACCAGATCCCGAGGGCTAGCGTCAACACTCTCCAGAACATCCTCGACATCACGGGCCTTAGCACTAACCATCATGGATTGCTCGTAGTGCTTTAGCCAATCCCTAGATCAGATTCCAAGCAGGGCGAGAATACGGACCACTTTGAAGGAAGCCACCGCCAAACACGAAGTAGAAAGAAAAGCGAAGGGTTGGGCGAATAGCGCGCAAAATCAAAATGGGAAAGACTACCCTGAAAGCGACAGCACGCGCACCCCGGCCTCAGCCCCCCTCCTTATATAGTCTCCGAGCAGGTGGTTCAAGTTCCACCGCCAACCACTACCAGATACAGGAGCTTTGCCGAGTGCCAAGGGCACTCGCCAAAGCCCCAAAAACACTCGGCAAAGCGTTTGCCGAGTATTACACTCGGCAAACGACACTCGGCGTAGGTTTTAACGGCAAAGAGCTGTTTGCGAGTGTCAATCGTCGGGCACTCAGCAAAGACTATGCCGAGTCCGAAAAAACACTCGGCAAACATTTTTTGGGAAAAAAACAAGTCACCGGCGGCACCACCACCACAGCTGCCGGCCACCACCGCCACCACCAACACCATAGCCGCCGGCCACCACCACCACCACCACCACGCCTCAACGCCGGCCACCACCACCACCACCACCAAAGCCGCCGCCGCCACCACCACACCACGCCGCCCGCCGCCAGATCCAGCCGCCACCAGCTGGATCCGAGAGAGGGAGGGCCGAATCCGATCGGGAGAAGAAGAAGGGGAGGGGAGGGGCCGCCGCCATGGAGCCTGCCGCCGCCGCGTTGCTCGCCGTGGAGCCTGTCGTCGGAGAGTTCCTAACCGTCAGATCCACGGATCCACCACCACCGGGATCCAACCCACCGGATCCGCCGCCAGAGGTCACCTCTCCGCCGGACTCGCGCCGTGGTGGCTCCATCCCACCGGATCCGCGATGCCACTAGCTGGTGGAG